TGCATGGGGCTGATGCCAGGGCAGGAGGCTTTTCAGCAAGCCTCTTGCCCAGAAGTATGTGGTGGCAGGACAGTTCTCTTGCTGTTTTGATGCCTGGCCACCCTCAGAACCTGCAAAACCAGAATCGGTTACAACCAGTAATGAGACCGAAAATGGACATGTCCTTGGGTCTGAGTGAATATTTTTGTCAGTGAGCGAATTTCATAGCAAACACTGCATGTGGCAATGCCACCTGCTGTGCTGGCGGTGCACGTAGCACAAGGAATGGAGGAGGGGGTTGAGACGTCCCTCTGAGCAGTATGTTGAGTAGGGGCTCACCAAGGGGACAGAGAAGGGACAGCCTAGATCCTAGTAGTAAGAAAGCCAAAGTGTGCACACTATTTGAGGGCCTCGTGTGTGATTTGGAGGCTAGCCAGAGTCTTCAGGTACCGATGAAATGCATAGCTAAGAGCCGCGTTAGTACTTGTGGTGCTGATTTGTTATGCAGATATTCAACAAGCACCCACTGTCTTCATTGCACTGCCACATGTGCCAGATGTCTAACACTGTCCCCAACAGAAACGGACAAAACGCAAGACCCACAGTATATTGCTACAGGGCTGGCTACCAGATTATTAGCCAAGCCCTGATTTTCCCCTTAACAATTTTATTTGTTCTTGATTAATTTATTCTTAATGCACATGGTCTCCTTCCTTCTTTTAAAAAGGAACAAGTACTAACTGAGCCCGTGGAAAAAGGCTAGAGTAGCCTAGGCAAGGGAGACGGTGATGGTGGTAGCCCTCGGAGAGCGCGATTACGATTCAAACTTCTATGTTCTTTGTTCCTGCTTCATAGGGCCTTGGATTTTGTGTGCAGAACTTGGGTTGAACTAGGGTGGGGTTGAGAATATGAGGCGGCTGCTCTGAGCTTATAGAAGAGGCTCCAGGCTGGGCTGTGTGTCGGGCTGCCTGACTCTAGCCAAGGAAGCTAACCAGCAGCCAGGATACCTTAGGAAAATGAGCATCACGATGAACAGCTATTTGTCCGTCTGGCGCCTTTCTTAGGAGCTTAAAGCGTTGAACTCATGCCTCCTAACATCCTCCTGAAGAAAGGAAGTGGCAGATAGTGTTAAATGTTACTGGTTAATCATGGGGAAGCTGAAGCATGGATAGGTTTATGGGGCTTGAGCAGAGTCACACAATGTCTCAGTGTCTGGCCTGGGAATGAAGCCCGAGTTTGCCGCTCGCTGTCAGGACTGCCGACAGCATTGTGTCTCGCATTGTATGGCAGTGAAAGGGGCTTACCCTTAACAATGCGGGAACTGCTGTAGGAGACAAACACAATGAACTTTGGTACAGTATAGTCTAGAGGCCAAAGTGAGTAATTTTAAGTAAATTGACTACAAGATCCAAAGCTTCATTAGGTTTTAAAACAAGAAACAAATGAAAGCCCCGTACAGTTTGGAAGCTGACTTAAAAAGCATGAACATTCCTTCCAGATTCGAAATGGCACATGCTTAAAAGTTCTATTTTGTTGGCTCAAAATATAACACTTTCTCTGTTAACCATGGCATTTATTTTCAATACATATGTATTCCTCGGATTCTGGGATTTGTTTTAAACATTTCTTGTAAGAACTGCTAGTCTAGGCTTTCCTTACTAAAATGCTGTGTTTCCCTAGGCTGAGTGTCGGGTGGGATGAAGCTATATTTTTCATTCAGATTTAGTTTGGGTTCCATCAGAATACTTGGGACTACAGAACTGGGGATTTGGGACAAGGGTGACACCACTTGGAAAAATACAAGAGAAAAGAGAAGCAGAATAGCATGGTCTTTTATGTCAGAGTGTCTGAGGTTTCCTGACATCAATTAAAGGGTGATATAGATATTGGTGGGCTTGGCTATAAAATTGCTGTAGTCTGGATTCTAACGAGAGCATGAAGATGAAATTGCATAACTTAGGGATAAAATATGTAGAGTGAAATTAATTTGAATAATTTAAACAACATCATGTTTCAGTTGGTCGTAGTTTGCTTTATAACTTGCATGTATTTATTTGTGAGGGCAGGTATACATGCCACAGCATGCATTTTGAGGTCAGAAGATAACTTGTGGAAGTCAGCTCTCTCAGACCACAGGGGTTCCAGAGAATGAACTGAGGTCATGAGGCTTGGTGGTAAGCACCTTGACTCATTGAACCGTTCTTATGGCCTCATATGTTTCATTTTGTCTTTAAGATTTATGGTAATTTGGTTCAATACTGGGCACAGTCCTCTAGGGGTTGGTTGGTCCAGAGGGACTACATCCAGAGGAGTTGCTGAGTGAGCCAGGGACTGGTTTCTAGAGCAGAAATGGAATCTTTCCTTGTTCCCCCAAAGACCAAAGCAGTCTGTCACAGCTGAGCATAGAAGACCCCTCTTAATGTAAACAACTGCTAGCCAAGTGGCCGCCTTCAAGGAAATATATATGCCCACCCAGAGATCTGTCCTTCGGAAAGACTCATCAAAAGTCTCGGGGCCTTGCTTCTGTGTGGACAAAGAGGAGTGGCAGACAGTGTGAGCCAGTCTTCCATTGAGTCCAGAATGGGATGTGTTGGCACGTAGAAGGCTGTTTACTGTTGCGGTCGTTAATCTTGCAGGAAAAGACATAATGGAACGAAAGTAAGGCCAAAGAGCATCTAAGATGAAGGGGTAGGAGGGGTAACCATAGGAAGGCAGCCTGAAATAATTAGGACTCTCAGACTTGAAAAGAAGAGAGGAAATATGATTAGAGTTTAATAAGTCTGTGTAGAATATGGATCATAAAATTGTTTACCAGAAGTCAGCAAAAACCTCTGAAACAAATGGGGGGAGCTGAATTTGGGGTACAAAGGATCCCTGGTGTACTGAGAAAATAGATCTTGCACATCAAAACTGGTCCTTTGGGAACTTGGCTAACTTCTGGCATTGAAGTGTAAAAGTCGAGGGTTTCTGTTTCTTTTAAACATAGACAGCCCAGCAAGCATAGATCAAGCATCCCATTAGCCTTTGTGCTTTCTTTTTCCTTTTTTTTTTAGGTGAAACTTAAATGTCACTCATTTTCCACCCAACAGCGATTTGTTGAGGGTAGCTTCTTTGCCCCGTCCACTGCCAGGCACTGGGGATATGAGACAAAATTGGACACACGTGGTTCCCACAGTCTGGTGGTGAATACGAAACCGTGATTGTGGGTATGATGAATTCGCAAACATGCTGTGAGAGTTTGACATTGGTTGCTAATGCAGTCTCAGATCAGAGCCGGCTGCTCTGAGGAAAGGCTGGTTAAGCTGAAACCAAAGAGCCGAGGAGTCGGCAAAGCCAGCAGTACGAAAGAGGGAACAGCACAGGGGAATGCCTCAAATGACAGGTGCTTAGCAAGGCTTGGAAACAGTGGAAGACATGAGGCTGGCAGCGTTGGCTGGACCTTGTCTGGATGCCCTTACAGACCATGATAAGCGTTTATGACCACGAGTCAGGGGAAGTCACTGAGGAAGATTAAGGATATAGAATAGACTTTGTTTGTATGATCAGTCCCAGCGGGTGCTGTGGAGAACAGAGGGCAAGAATAAATATTCCTGAAAGCAGTGGCTGGTTTTTGGTATCCAGGTGACCACAGCCTAAGCGGAGAGAAGCCAACAGAATCTAGAGGTGCTTCTGAGGTCATATAGACTAGACTTGTTCAGATGTTAGAAGTGAAGGAGAGGAATAATCAGGCTTGAGTGTGAAAGCCAAGTAGCACTCAGACTGTGTCTGATAAGAGGAATTGGCACAAGGTTAGTAGGTCTTTTCCTATATGGGTTCAGACAATCAAATGAGCCGAGTCTTTCTCCCTCCCACATTTTATTTCTAGTCTCTTTCTTGTATGAATTAATGTTCATATCAAATATTGGGACTACTTTAGACTCTGGAGAGCTGGTTTGTAGTCAGCATCATAAATGGATATCAGGTATATTGAAACATCAAACACTTTGTGAATGATAACCTGTAAGTCGGCTCCCTTTGTCTTTACTTGTGGAGACCAAACGAGTTTGTATGACTCAGAAACTGTATGTGTGTAGAACTTTGAGGTCAGTTACCCTTGGCAAAGGCCAAGAAAGGCCAAGCTGTAACACAGATTATTTAGTGATGTAAGGTGCCTTTGCTTCTGGACCGACATCAGAACAGTAAAACCTCAGGGGCACATCGTTAACTGGGCATGTGCAAGACCGAGTTCAATGCTCAGCAGCCTCTGCCCCAAATAAAAGTTCCAGGACTAGAGTGGAGTTGTAGGGCTTCACTGGTTCGTGTTTTTCCACATTTGCTTTATCACACTCCCCACCAGATGGGGGTGGAGAGAGTAAGAGACTTAGACTGTTTCTGAGCCAGTTAATTGCAGATTTCAAGACCCTTCACCTCCAAGTACTTCAGCATGTGCTTCCACAGAACAACGACTTTCCCTTACATAATGACAGCACAGTTATTTAATTCAGGAAATTTAACCTTATGCAACACTGTTATCTAATATGCAGTCTATATTCAGTCCTCACTATTGTCCCAATAATGTCATTTATGGCACTTTCTTCCTCCCAACTCAGGATCTAATCTAAGATGCGCTGCAGTTCATATTATGTCTTCTGATCCTTCCCCACGAGTGACTCCTCGGGCCCTGGCTTTTGAGACAGTGGTGTTTTAGAAAACACACTAGGTATGGTATGGGATGCTTCTGAGGCTGACTTTACGTAGTTTCCTCATGGATAGGTTCAAGTGGTGGCACTAGGGGATGCTGTTAGAGCCCTATGCCCAGTGCTCCTGCCATAGCTGGCAGGGTGGCAGCATAGACATGTCTCATGGCTGCTGATAGGAGTGTTGATTGCTTTGCCAAAGTGCTATCTATAACCCAGGTGTCGCCACTTGAAGATACCCTATCCCTGCTTAAACTTGGTGCGGTACTCAGTTACACCTGCCTATATGTATAGTTGTTTGAAATATCACTAAGGTCTGTCTCCATATTCTTCTCTCTCTGGCAGTGTTTTCGAGCGCTTTGCTGCAAGGGACCACCCCCTGCGCGCCCAGAATATGATTTGGTTTGCATAGGCCTCACAGGCTCTGGGAAGAGCAGTCTGTTGTCCAAGCTCTGCAGCGAAAGCCCGGAGAACGTTGTGTCGACCACAGGTGGGTGTTGTGCCGAGCATCTGTCTCTCTTTCCTCCTTGTCGCGCAGTCTTGCCAGTGTCCTGTGTGCGTCTGTGGCCTCTCCCATCTGATCAGCGTGTAACCCGGTGCTTCAGTATTTTGTTTCATGGCATGCCAGAGGACAAATAATAAGGGAGAGACCAAGTCTTGGCAATTTTTTTACACCAGATTCGGAAATGTGAGCCTTATCTGTAGTGTACAGAGACTTCAGAGTCTTATGAGCAAGGAAACCACACACTCTGATGTCCATCTGAGAAGGATGAGGCCGGCCATGTTTGGGGCATGAACTGTGAGGAGCGCTGCTGGAGGCAGAGGCAGAGGATGATGATGATAGCACACAAGGTGATGAAGGCCTTAGGTGAGGCAAAGGACAAACGAAGAGCAGAGAATGGCTAGAGCAGTGTTTGACGGAGCTGGCAGGGCCTGGTAATCAGTTGGCTTTGGACAAGGAAGGAGAGCCAACAGTGAGTCAGTTTCTGGCTTAGCTGATGGGCGGGTGATGAAATCATTCACCAGGGTTTCTTAAGTAGGAAAAATATTGGTGATTGGGAACTTCACACAGTTCAGCTCAGGTTTAGAGAAGACTAAGTTAGAAAAAAAGTGAAGATTTCAAGAACGTTTTAGACCTTAGAATTATAGATTTAAAAAGACAATGGGTCTCTAAAGAAATACATGTGTGTAGAAATACATGTGTGTATATATCTAGAGTAAAGGGTGAGTGAGATAGGCGTTAGGAATAATTAGTGGTGAATTTGCAGAAGGTGAACATGGAGCTGGTGCATAGACACAGGGCTCCCTCTTCCTATAAACAACACTTAGTCCTCCCTCCTCACCCTCACCCCCCCCCAGTTCCATAGTCCTCCAGTCAGTGCCTGCCAACTGCTTTGTTCACCTGTCTGCCTCTTAGTTCTTCCTAAACTACCAAGGGCAGACAGCATGTCTTATTTGACATTCGTAAACAAAGGTTGGCACAAAGTTTGGACATAGATATAGAAATCTGTTGTATGAATAAGCAAATGGTAATAGATTTAATTTACATAGTCTGTTTACCTAAACTACCCTCTCTGAGCATCGTTATATCTTTGATAGGGAAGAATCATTTATATGATTTTTAAACCACCTGAGTAAGGTATAGTGATATATTCATTTTGACATAGCCAGACACAGTGGCGGAATGCCAAGGAAGGTTTTCAAATGAAGTTCAGTGATATCGAAGACCTCAAATTTCTGATTAAGCATCTACTTAGTGGTTGTCTCTGAAAGTTTAAACCTTTTGAATAATGTGCTCTGAGGTTATACCAACATCATCAGCTTCGTAATTCCTTGTAAGCCAAGTCACCTCCGCAGTGGCTGTAAGAGCAACAAACTGTGTCATCTTCCTCACCTGCCAGCCATCATCTCGCACTGTTTCTGGAAAAGCAGCTTTGAATTACAATGTAAAACTTATCTGCAAATAAATTTTATAATTTATTTGTAAACTTTAACGGGTCCTATATTTGTTTTCATGAAGTTATTGGGTAATTTGTATTTTCCTTTTGCTGGAACCAATCACAGCATTTGGGTTAGTTGATTTCCTGATGAGTGAGATAGCAAGTTGGCTAACGCTTTGGATATCAAACTTCTATGAGTTATGGCTATCTTGACCTTGGCCCAGTGCCTTTTTGGAGGCCTCCTTAGTGTTTCTTGCCATCAAGAACTTTATCATGGGTTTGGAAGATAAGTTTTCAAGTGGTAAAATGGTTCTCACTTGATTGTTTATTATACACCAGGTCCTGCGCTGGGATACTGTGATGTGTACTTGATGGTATAGGCATGGAAGTAACATGTGATTTCTAGATCGGGAGATCAAAGAAAGCTTCCGAGTGAACATTACATTTGAAAAGTGCTTGGCTTGACAGGATTCTAAGCCATGACTGCTGGGACAAGGACATTTGGAATCTGAAACAGTTGGTTCAGAGACACCAACATCTTACTGGTCCAGGTTCATGGTACAGTGTCGTAGGAAGTGCTGCTGTCCAGGCTAGAGAATCGAAAAGTTGTTGGGGACACATGTAACATGGAGAGGTGAGCCAACAGATAATAACGTGGGGATGGTGAGTTAGGAGCACGTGTAATCAATACTGTGAAAGTGGCAGTCATATTGTGTGATGGAAAAAGAAAATTCAATAATGACTGAAGCACATTGGTGCTTGGGGAAAACTGTAGAAAGAAGTAGAAAAACCATGACAGGCAGTAAGAGAAAACTGGGAAGGTTGGCTTGGGACATCCCAATGTTTTGTTGTTAGTGGGACATCTAATAATGTTTGAAACGCTGGAGTAACAGTCTAGAAGGAACCTAGAGTGGCAGGCACAGCTCTGGAGACCTGTGAAATGTAGCTTTGAGTGAGACAGTCTAGAAATAATGATTAGAGCGAGGGGCGCTAAGCACTAGCTCCATTTCCTTCATCCATTACATAGTGAGTATTTGTGTGTGTGTATGTGTGTGTGTGTGTGTGTGTGTGTCCTCCACCGAGTTAGGCAGTAATACTGCATCAGTTAACAAGTCAGACGCACATCCCCACCCTTGAGAACTTACATTCCTCCGTCTGTGGTTGTTAAAGAATCTTTTTGGAATTCGAGGCAGTGCTTCTCTGTGTAGCTTTGGAGCCTGTCCTGGAACTCAGTCTGAAAACCAGACTGGCCTCGAACTCACAGAGATCTGCCTGTCTCTGCCTCCCTGAGTGCTGGGATTAAAGGCTTGTGTTGCCATTCTCCCTTTTTAAAGCTTATTTATTTTATGAATATGAATGCTCCATCTGCATGTACAACTTAATGCCAGACGAGGGCATCAGATCCCATTTCAGATAAGTGAGCCACAGTGTGGGTGCTGGGAATTGAACAGGACCTCTGGAAAAGAAACCGCTGCTCCTAACCTCTGAGCCACCTCTCCAGCCCCCTTGTTAAAGAATCTTAATCCAAGCGTGACTACATACTATCATACAAGTCAGTTACAAGCAAGAAATAAAAAGTCAAAAGTCAAGTTGAAAGCCTGAGAAAAGGGCCCTGGGTTCTGGTAGCAACATGATGAACACTGACAGCGATGGTCTTAGTAGATGGTGGGGATGGAGGCCACCCAGGGAGTGAGGAAGCAGTATGTAGCAGTGTGGAAGAAGGGTGATGACTCATACAGGCTCTAGTCATTACTACTTGATTCTTTGCTTTTTTTTTCTTTTCTTTTTTTCTTTTTTTTCAAGATAGGGTTTCTCTGTAGCTTTGGAGCCTGTCCTGGAATTAGCTCTTGTAGACCAGGCTGGCCCCGAACTCACAGATCCCCCTGCCTCTGCCTCCCAAGTGCTGATTTGAAAGATTACACATGAACTTTTTTTTTTTTCAAGACAGAAAAGGAGAAAGTGTTATGGACATTTGTTTCAATAAGAACAGGTCTTGTGAGCATTTTTATAGATATCATGATCATCTGAGAATAAAGAAAAGCCTGAATGGGCTCAAGGAAGGATAGAAAAACCATGGATAATTAAAGCTTTCTGATTCTCATCCAAGTATAATAATCAGAGCTGATTTAACCTCTTAAAACAAATGAAAAGCAGTTACTCCCATGAAAACATTAAAAAAGTAAAAGTGAAAAGCACAGCACAGACCAAACAGTTTTCATCAAGAGTATCAGGCGGATCACCCAGTCAGGAAACAGGGGGAGCAGCAAAGACAAGGAGAACAGGAATAGAAGGAACAGACTGGGCATATGTAGCAAGGTAATATAGTCAAACATCACCAACAACAATTAAATGTAAATGACCTAAGCTCCTCAATTAAGGCTGAATTATGACCAAGTTAAAAAAAATGAGCCAACTGAGTATTGACTTTAGGGAATAAACTTTAAATATAAATACAAATAACTTGAAGTAAATGAATAGAAAATTATAGAAGTCCAATAGTATAAAAGAAAAACTTAGAGTGTTTATGTCAATCTCAGACATTGTAAACTTCAGAGCAAAGGATGCAGAGAACAAAGTTTATCTCATAGTGATGAAGGGATCATTTTAATCAAGAAAGCTGAGTACTTATGTACCTAACACTAGATCTTCAAAATATACCGAACAAAAAATGATAAGACACCAGAGTGAAGTAGACAAACCCACAGTTAAAATGAGAAATTTCTCTTTCACAGATTGATAGTTGTGGGGCGGCACTCAGCTTAGCCATAACAGACTTGAGCAACATGGTCACCAACAGGACCTGGTTAATTTTTACATATCACTTCACCCAACCACAGAAGACGTCATTCTTCCCAAGCACTTTTGAACATGTACTGAATTAAATAATTATCTACTGTAATACATAAAACAAATATCAGCTGGTTTAGATCGACTCCAGTGATACTAAATGTGTTTTCAGACTGTCCAGGCTTTAAACATTGTTGTCTGCAAAGTTCATGCAGAGGAACCACAAAATGGAGTTGATTGAGCCCCCCCTCCATGCGAATATTACACACTCAGAAATCTTACAGTGTTTTAAGTAAGTTTGGGCTGTATGTGATCTCCAGACTATGTGTTGGACAGGCCCGCCAGTGTCATAGGATTGAATTAGAAATCATTAAGAAAAACATCCTTAGGAGACAGTTTCCAACTATTTGAAAACTAATTTGCTTCTAGATAGCCCCTGAATTGGGAACTCAAAAGAGCAACTATAATTCATCTTGCACCAAATGACAACTTATCAGAATTTGTGATATGCCTCTTTTTTTGGTATTTTTTAAATTTGTATTTTTTTAAATTTATTTATTTTGCATCCCGACCACAGTTTCCCCTTCCTCCTCTCTACCTACCCCACCTATCAAAGCAGAGCTTTGGGGGAAATTTATAGAAATGAGCACTGGTATTGGAAAAGAAAGGACTTGGGACTGAAGAGATGGCTGAGGGGTTTAGAACATTTGTAATAGTATAGAACCTGGGTTCATTTCCCAGCACCCACGTGGTCCTTCACAGC